CCCCCTGAAACAGTCCCTGGGGGTTTTTTTTGCGCTGCCCGGAAAAGTTTTCTACCTGCCCGGAAAGCGTATCCTTGATCAGACCCCTCTTGCGTATAGCGTTTATACGCTAGCGTATATACGACACGCGTATATACGCTATACGCGTATAATCCATCATAGGATGCGCCGAGTCAGGCTCGGGAGGAGAAACACCAAGAGGTGCCAGGCTGCGAGTTCGCCAGGGAAGCGGGCGAGGTCAGGCGCAGGAGTGGAGTGGGGTCAGGAGGCATGTGGCGAGGTGACGGCATCACGAATGTGGCGTGGGACCGGCAAGGGGTGGCTGGCGTGAGCCACGGAGAATGTCAGTGTTGCAGCTGCGAATGCGACGAACCGCGGGTCGTCGCTGCGAGTTGGAGTAGGTGGGGACAGCAGTGGTGCTGGCGAACCCTGCCGCACTGCGTTTGGGTGGACCTGGTTGAAATTGGCGGGCGGGAGCAGGGCTTTCCTTAATTGTGGTTGAACCCCCGCATTTAGGCAGAGCAGGGATGGTTGGTGATAGGACAGGAGTACCATTGGCAGGGCGAGCTGTGAATCACTGACGGCGTTTACTATGGCTCTCCTGTTAGCGCTGTTGAAAGCGTTAGTGATGTCGGCTCGTAGGACAAGTGTGCTGGGGTTCGCGGCGAGGCGAGGTAAGACCGAACTGTGTGAATTCTCGCCCGCCTCAGCCTCAGCAGCACCTCCTGAGACGGCCACTCCAAACTGCTGCAGCAGGAACAAGTCCCGCACTGCCCCTGCTGTTAAGAGAGTGCCGTTTTTGCAGCCAGGCGCGTGATGCTCTCGCCAACGGCAACCGGCCTTGTCCTTTCGTCTGGCTTGGCAAGGGCTGTCATGCGTGAGGCGGTGGTGAATAGGCTAGCTATTTGGAGTGGTAGTTTTTCCGTCATAATTGTGTTGACCAGAATAGTGTAGACCAGAATAGTGTAGACCAGAATAGTGACCAGAATAGTGTAGACCAGAATAGTGTTGACCAGAATGGTGTAGACCAGAGTGGTGTAGACCAGAACGGTGTAGACCAGAATGGTGTTGACCAGAATGGTGTAGACCAGCTCGAGTAGATGTGTTTCCACCGCATGGACGTTTCCACCGCATGGACGTTTCCACCGCATGGACGTTTCCACCGCATGGACGTTTTTCCGTCACGATTGTTGTTCCTGAAGGGCCAGCGCCAACTCCATTTTCGCAGCACGGCAAGACCTTCAGAAATGCAGGAAGCGGCGCTAACAGTTGTGCATTCGGATTCCGCACTGGTGGTGCTGGCCTGCGGGCCAGTTGAGTGGTGTGTCAGTCAGGGGCGGATGGGTGTTTGGCGCGCAGGGCTTCCAGCACGGATGGGGTTGGCGGGCGTGCAGACTGGCGTTGCCTCAAGGGCCATGAAAGCCCGTCTGAGACTGCCACGTTGCGCCAGACCTTCCGCCCTGGTGAGCACGCTAGTTTCGTCTTTTTGGTGCCCTGGCAGCGAGGGGTAGGACAGTGAGTCCACCGTCTCATTCCCCCCACGAGGAAAGGGACGTTGGTGCGTCTGGTTGAGATTTTCCTCTGGTTGGTGTCTTGGCTTGGCGGCGAGGGGTAGGACAGTGGGTCCACGTCCACCGTGGCATGGTAGAGCGAGTCCACCATCTCATTCCCCCGCGAGGAACTGTCGCCCCAGACGTGTACGGACCGCTGGCCGATCCGGGCTCCTGGTTGGAGATTTGGTGCAGCGTCGATTGTGCGACCAAAAGCAAAACTGTCCATGCAGTCAATGAGTCTGGGTCGTGTGCCAACCGTAGCAGTGGGTTCAGCAAGGTTGTGGCGGAAAGTGGGTCAAGAGATGATGGAAGTCGACGCGGCAGAGGTGCGTGGCAGGTGCTGCAGAGTTTTCGCTAGGTCCCAGGCCCCAACGCTGGCGAAAAGCGCATTTTCAGAGGCGAGCAATTCTTCGCTCCCTACCCACACGAGTGCTGATAGGATCCGTGACCGTGACGTCACAGATCCAAGCAGCTCCAGAGTCCCTGTCCGTCACTGCCAAGTCGGCCTGATGCTTGTCAATCAGTGAGTGAATCGTCGTCTCGGTGAGTAAATCCATGCGAGTGTTGATGTTGCATGTGGACGATGAAGCCAGCCAGCATCCCGCGCAATCCGAATGCTCTCATCACGGATGGCGTTCCGAGTGCTGGTTCTGCCTCCTCCCATGTCACTCCGCAGCTGCGCAGCACGTGGTTCAGGAGCCGCGGGTCAGGCAAGTCTACCTTCTTCCAGCAGTCACAAGCCGTCGGTAGAGAGAAGGGCAGGCCGAGCCTGAAGTGCGTGCCATGCTGAACTGGGCCGAGGAGAGGCGGAGGAAAGCTGATAGAGGGATGGCAAGGAGCCAGCCAATCACCAACTGACGTGTCACGGACAGGGACAGCATGCGCTGCATGTGCCCAAGTGGGGGGCTGAGGAGCATCCCGCGCGTGGCCTCCACCATTTCTACGCAGCGGTGAGCCTGGCCAGGACTTCCAGGGCTAGCCCGTGCTGGAGTTTTCCTGCTTGTGGCGGCTGGCGGCCGCCGTGGAGCAGCTCCAGGGCCCTTGCTGGGAGGGTGCACTCCGCTTTGACTTTTGAGTAGATTCAAAAGAACGGTTGCCTGGCAGAGGTGGAGGGCTGTTGTGGCGGGTTTAGGGTGGATAACGGTGCCTCCATTAGCGGCAAGGTGGTGGCAAGTGCTGGGATACTGGCCAGTGGGACTATTGCCAAGAGCCCAGCTGCCCGGAAGAACCCTGTGAGGAAGCTGTAGTCGCCCTCTACTGCTGGGTGGGTCACACAGGCCAAGCCCCCCGGGGCGAGGTAGGTAAGGATGCCTGTGCCCAGACCCGCACCCTCTCGGTGCCAATGCGCGGGATTGGGATGTTGCAGGCGGAGAGGAGTGTGGTGAACAACCTCTCCCCCCTGCCCCTCCATTCTTTCTCTTGCGCCGCCCTATCCTCCTGTCCCCAAATGCGAGCGGCGTTTTCCAGACACTACCGGAAGGCATGGGAAAAGACGTCCCCAATGCATGCTTGTTCTGGTTGAGATTAAGATAGTTGTTCCCCTTCCCGGCTGCCCTAACCGATTGCCGCCGCTACGCCGGCGCGAGCCACCGAATTTGAGAAATCAACGTACCAAAGAGCAGGCAAGAGCCCAAGAGGCCCTCATGTAGAGGAGAAAGCAGGGCGCAGGCAGAGGAAAGCTAACCTATACTCTCTCTCGCTCTATCCTCCTGTCCCCAAATCTCAGCGGCATTTTTCAGAGACTACCAGAAGGCATGGGGAAAGACGTTCCCAGGCTGGACCGTGGATGCTGAGTGTGGCGCAAGTAAAGCACTCGCCTGCGATGATTTAGGCATGATTATCAGGCTGTAAGTGTGATTATCAGGCTGTAAGTGTGATTATCAGGCTGTAAGTGTGATTATCAGGCTGTAAGTGTGATTATCAGGCTGTAAGTGTGATTATCAGGCTGTAAGTGTGATTATCAGGCTGTAAGTGTGATTATCAGGCTGTAAGTGTGATTATCAGGCTGTAAGTGTGATTATCAGGCTGTAAGTGTGATTATCAGGCTGTAAGTGTGATTATCAGGCTGTAAGTGTGATTATCAGGCTGTAAGTGTGATTATCAGGCTGTAAGTGTGATTATCAGGCTGTAAGTGTGATTATCAGGCTGTAAGTGTGATTATCAGGCTGTAAGTGTGATTTTCAGGATGTACGTGTGATTTTCAGGAGAGATGAGCAACCAGCCCGGCCTGGCCCGACCCGACCCGACCTGGCCGGGCCACACGGGCTCTCGGGTCGGGTCGGGTCGGGCCGGGCTCGGGCCAGGGTCCTGAAGGTTCTGGCCCGACCCGGGCCTACACACTCGGGTCAACATGGACCCGGGTACGGGTCGGGTCGGGTCGGGCCAGGATGACCCGCCCATACCCTGGCGCCAGCACCTTTGCCCGCGGCCGCCCCTACACCCTGCACACGGCCCCTAAGAACCTCTACGAAATGGTGCAATATTAGTTGCTGGCGCACCTATGAGCAACTGCTGGCCTGAAACGAGCCGTGCAGCCTGTGAATTGAAGTGTCGCTAAAAAAACGCGAAGTTGTAAAAAAAACTCCATTCCTGCATCGCGATTTTCCGTTACCAGCAGGAAACGATAGCAAACTAGCTATAAATGTCTGTCAATGAGGTTTGAACGGGTTGTAACTAAGTAGTTTCTAAGCTTAGGTGACTTGCTTGCGGCCGTTAGGCAAGATTGAGAGCGTGGGTAGGTTCTGATGTCGAGGGGATAAACAACCCCTCGACAACAATTCGACCTAGGGTTTTGTCCCCGGTCCTGACCTGAATTCGGGTCGGGTCAAGCCTGACCCGAAACTCGACCCGACTCGGCCCGAGTTCCATGCTCGGGTCGGGTTTTAGGCCGGGTCCGGTCGGGTCGGCCCGCACGGGGCAAGCAAGTGAAACTACTGACCCGACCCGGGCTAAACCACGCGCGCGGGGCAAATGCTCATCTCTAAGTATGAGGATGTGTGTGATTTTCTGGATGTAAGTGTGATTATCAGGATGTACGTGTGATTATCAGGTTGCAAGTGTGATTATCAGGATGTACTTGTGATTATCAGGATGTACGTGTGATTATCAGGTTGTAAGTGTGATTATCAGGATGTACGTGTGATTATCAGGATGTAAGTGTGATTATCAGGATGTACGTGTGATTATCAGGATGTAAGTGTTGACTTCAGGATGTAAGTATGAGTATGAGGATGTGTGTGATTTTCAGGATGTAAGTGTGACAATGCTCTGTCTAGGGTGGAATTGACTCCACACAAGCTGCTAGTGTTCAACACTCTTGCTTTCACTGATTTCTGCGTGTGCTGGTGAGATTTGCGCCATTTTTTCCCAGTTTGCTAGTGTCACCATGCGATTTCCTCAACTCCTCCCTGCTTTCATTCAACCCACCCACCCACCCACCCCACATAGATCTTTGACGGCGAATCTGAATGGGTCTATTCCTGACAGCATCTCCTCTCTCACTCAACTATGTGAACTGTAAGAACCCTACAGTGAAGCTATGAGCTCGCCTTCTTGTATGCTTAGCTATTTGAATAACCGCGGATCAAGGAAGTTCAGTAGAAAAACACACTGATATATAGATAGAGAAGGGCACATCGGGAAACAATAACAACAAAAATGCCTCACGACGGTCACATCACATGTAAACGCCTGTGGTTGCATCCGACAAAATGCAGTGGTGTGGAATCCCAACGCCAATACTTGTCACCCTTTTTTTCAATCAATCCTCCTTTCTGTGGGGGGGGGATGTATTCTTCCATCGGAATGTCCTCAGTCCATGCCCACCATTCTCATTTCCTAACTTCTTTTGTTCGCTCCAACCCGTCCACGCACGCAGGACTCTTACAAACAACAATTTGACGGGCTCCATTCCCAATGGCATCGCCAAGCTTTCCTATCTCACCTTATTGTATGGAGCACCTCATTTCACCCTGGTGGTACGCACGGACATTTTAAGTAATCGCATGATCTCTTTAACCCTCAAGAAAATAGTTTTAGTTGCATAATTTAGATGCCACACGTTAGGGTGAGCAAGGGCCGGACGGGTAGATTGGCAGCCCTGTTCGCCCATATACTGCGTGGGCCTGTTCGAGTCTGGCCCGGCACATAATCACAGGGGCGCACGGGGGGGGGGGGGGGGGGGGGGGAGGTCATAAAAAAGAAAACCGCCCATCATCACCACAAGCGGACCGTTTGTTATAGAACTCCGGTCACAAAAAAAGGTCTCAATCATCACCACAAGCGGAAGATGCAAGAAAGGGTCCTTCAACTAAGTTCTGCCATCAAGGCGGTCATAAAACAGAAAACAGACCTCTTGGAATCGCTGAAAAGTGATTGTAGCGAAGTTCTTCACAATAATGTTGGTTAATATATCAACAAAAATTAAACGGTCGTTTTTAACTCTCCTCCCACCATGCTCGTCTCATCTCATCCTTCATTTGGGTCCTCCATTTGTGCTTGCTGTCATTCAGTCCGCGCCCACTACTCTCATCTCATCTCCTCACTTATTCCTCCCCATCCCTTCCCATCCCATCCCATCCCTCGCACTCATAGGTCTCTTTCATACAACGCTTTGACAGGATCCATTCCAAAAAGCATTTACCGGCTTCCTCTGCTCAATCATCTGTATGAAACCTCGTTTGCGCCTGGTACTAAGCATGCAGGGTTAAAGATCACAAGTATTATTTAAGCAAGGTTCTGTCGAGTTTTGAAAAGCTCGTGAGTTGAAATTCAATCATCTTCGAGTTTTGTCACCAAATATAAGACGCAAAACTCGACGTTTTCGAGATACGAGAACGAGTGGAGTAAAAACTCGACTCGATGTTTACCTGGCCCTCGAAGCTCGAATCGGCCGACTTTCCCTTTTTCGGGGTCCTGACCTGACCCTGGTTGTGCTAAATCAAATTCAAGTGGAAAGCAAGGGTTATATTGAATGTACCTATGACGAATGGATCCGAACATGTTTGGGTTCCGGTCATACACTTATGAGTTTGAACCAATCTGAGTAGTGTTCAACTGTACAGCCGAACACTCAAACCCTACTTTTGCAATATTAAATTAGGCCCAAACCGGACGAGTTCGGTTCAGGCTATACTACAAACTTTCAAGTAAGTTCGAGACGAACTTGTTTGAGTTCGCCTTCTGCATATACTACCTCCCACCCACCATGCCCATCTCATCCCCCAATTGGATCGACCATTTGTGCTTGCTGACCCTCATTCCATGCCCTCGATTCTTATGTCCTCATACCACCATGCACACACAGGTCTCTCTCATACAACACGTTGACGGGCTCCATTCCTACTGACATCCGTACTTTGAGTACGGTTCTCACTTATTTGTATGAAGCACCTATGCCATCCTCCAATTGGGTTGACCGTGTGTGCTTGCTGTCCCTCAGTCCAAGGTGCAAAAGTACGGCCGAAATTTTGACATTCTGGTGTATAATAAGATGTTGTATTTTTCGGGTGTATAAAACGGTTTAAAACGCCTACATGCTGTCATATTTATGTGGTGCAAAATTATGGTCGTATTTTACGGTCGGAAATTTGAAACCCTAGTGTGCACGTTTTTCCTGACTGGCACCTTGTTAGCATTTCATAGCTTGTTTGCCAGGCATCCGTGGTAGTGTAGTGAATCGTGATGGTGAAAGCGGGGAAGAGGAGGATGAAGGGGAGGAGGTTGAAGAGTGTGAGGGGGGGGAGGAGGAGGAGGGCTGAAAAAGCGCACACTAGTCAGTTTGTTAGCATCTTATCGCTTGTTAGCTAGGCTGGCCATTAGTAGAATATTGTATTACTTTTGTTGTTGTTGTTGTTTTTTTTTTTTTCCTTTTCTCCCGGCCACAAACTTTCTAACAAAAATACGGCCGAAATTTTGAAATCTGGCTGTAAAATACAGGCGTAAAATACAGACCGTATTTTTCACGAACCGTCATTTTGCACCTTGCCTCAGTCCATGCCCACTCTTCTCATCTCCTCACTTCCTCCACCCTAACCCTTACCACACACAGGTCTCTTGCAAACAACAATCTGACAGGCACCATTCCCAGCGACATAGTCACGCTTGGTCAGCTTAATTATCTGTATGAGACACCTCCTTTAAGGCTGGGACTAAGCACGCACGATGAGTACCCACACCTTGAGTGGGCCCTGTGTCATTGTCTGGTTTGAAGAGCTGCGTGCATTTTAAGCTGCTGCAGTGGTTGCTTCTTTTCAGTTCTACGGTCTCAATAAACTCATTGAAGCTATTGACAACCACAAGGATCGTCTTGCTCTCCCCCGCTCCTCACCGCTCCTCATTCTCCCTCCCCGCTCCTCATTCTCCCTCCCCGCTCCTCATTCTCCCTCCCCGCTCCTCATTCTCCCTCCCCTTCGTTCACTCATTTCTTCATCTTCCATGGACTGTTCTTCATCTTGCAAATGTATGTTCCTCCTTTTCTTATCAAGCATAGGGACCCGAACCGCGACACGTGTTCTGCTCATGTCTGCCTCCCAGGCATGAGCAGAAAGGCCAACCCAATACTGTCGGATGCGACACATTTGGCTTGTTTCTTGCGTGGCATGGCGAACGCGAACGTGTGCACCTGTTTCTCGAACGTGTGCGAACCCAACGGGGTTCGCATCAAAACCACGCTGATAACCAGCGGCTGGTTTGTATTTCAAAACAGGATGTCTATTTCTGGGCTCTACTTTGATCCACATCAAGTCGATATCTCGCCATGATCTTAAGCCACACGTGGGCTTATTATGATTCATGCTAGTAACATTTGGTTTGTATCAGTATAGACGCTAGGGAAACATATGGAAGGACAGCTACTGCATACAGTTAGATTGTCAAAGGTTAGGGGCATATGTTGGGATTGCGAGGGAAGGTGATGTGAGCAAGGGACGTATAGAAGGTTGCGCGGAATTAATTTCGAGGAAGAGGCAAGGGTTGTGCAAATGCATTCGGTTTCGATTCGAGATAAGCTAGTTCTGTTCTCGTATTGCTCATGCCTACTCCTCACCCTGCTCTTGTCATCCCTCAATTTGCTGCTGTCACTCCGTTCATGCCCACTGATCTCATCTCCTCACATTTTCTGTTCCAACCCACACCACGCACACACAGGTCTCTTTCAAACAACGCTTTGAAGGGATCCGTTCCAGAAAACATTTACTGGCTTTCTGAACTATCTTATCTGTATGAAGCTCCTCTTCCGATCCTGGTGCTAAGCATGCGCGGTAAAATATCACATGGCCTGATATCCTTGATCACATAATCTAGATGCCACACGCAAGCGAGAAATAAGAAGTTTCGGATATATGATCAGAATATATATGGCCACTCAAATGGCAGCCAAAACAGTGTGAATATTCTGTAACTCCTCTTCATGGCCCTCCCCTTCCCAACCTAGATTTTGGCAAGAATTGCACATTTTTCAAACTGGGGTGTGCGAGTCGAAACAGTTTCAACAATTACAGTTAAATATGATATCGTCTCTTCGGAACTGGCGCGCTAATTGAATACATTCCTTAGAGTTGGTTTCGCGTAGTAATAGGAGTAGATTACTCAGTTTGTGAAGTGAGTGTGTACGCGTTTGTCTGCGTCAGTTTTGTGTATGATGCCTGGTTGGGTTTGGGAGGTGCATTGGGTACGGTACGGTGGGTTTTGGGTGGGCATGGATGGTTGGGAAAAAAATGCGAAATCACTATCACGATAGAATTCAAGGCAATTCGACTCGGAACAGTGAAACACAGATTTTCGCGATTCTTATTTTCCACCGATTGTGTTTCACGTCATTACTGAAAGAAAAACACAATCGCAAAACTCATTTCCACACAAGCAATGTACTTCGAATTTTAACCAGCCAACGTAATGAAGCAATACGCTGTTCTGTTCGTGGTTTTTTTTTGGGGGGGGGCTCTGCGGGCTCTCAATGCCTATGGTGACTCTGAAAATGAGTCGAGTTTTGAGTCGACTCAAAACTCGACTCTGTAAATACCCCAAAGCTTAAACATTTCATGTTAGGGTCGAACACCTTACTGTTCACCTACAAATCATCACGGTTTGACTCTGCTGTAGAACTGTCGAACCCTACCCTATTGGAGATTAGTTTGAGTTCGACGTTTCGACTTCGGTTCGACAACACCCTACGATCGACCAAGTTAAAGTTATATATTGGTCGTAACCAATTAGGGCGTGTGTGATTTTGCCGAACCTGACTGAAAGTTCGAACTTTTGTAACGGTTCGTCACGGTAGGATACAATTAGAAGAGTTTTGCCACGGTGCAAAGCGGTTTGAGTTCGAACTTTGTCAGGTTCGGCAAAATCACACACGCCCTTAGGGGTATCCATTCCTAGATGAGCACGTGCTAACCCCTACTTGGGGCTGGCAGAACACGCCTGCACGGGGGTGGGTTCGATCCCAGGACCTCATCTATCGGAAGTGCCTCTTTCTACTGACTAGGCCGTACGATCGACCAAGTTCTAGTTGATCATGTTCGAGTTCACCTGTTGCTCATGTCTACTTCAGTCAGTACAAACGTTCAAGGGAGTTCAAGACAAGCTAGTTTGAGTCCGCCTTTTGCTCAAGACCGTGTGTGCGTGCTGTCTCTCAATCCATGCCCTCGATTTTCATCTCCTTCCTCCCCTTCAACCTTTACCCCGCACTCACACACAGGTCTCTTTCATACAACGCCTTGACGGGCTCTATTTCCAGTGACCTCTTCGAGATTATTGGACTCACTTATCTGTATGAAGCACCGTGTGTAGGCCTGATTGTAACTTGTAAGCATACATGATCATAGATCACATGAACCTGGAAAACTGCAAGAGAATATATTTTTATCCCACACAAGCAAGGAGTTTCAGGTAATAAAAACGTGTATGGTCACGTCAATACCAGCCAAGCCAGGCTGAATATTCCAAAACCTCTTTCTCCCCCCCCCCCCCTTCCAAGCCCAGGTTCAACGATAGCCACAAATTCGTCGAGCTGGGTGTGCGACTCGAACCGGTTCGAGCAATTAGAGCTGAATACGAACTCGTTCACCTCGAACCAAACCGAACTGCGATTCAGTTTTGACTCCTCCCTGTCTCCCAGCATGCCCCTGTCACCCCCCAATTGGGTCTCCCAGCATGCCCCAGTCACCCCCCAATTGGGTCAACCATATATGCTTTCTGTCGCTCAGTCCATGCCCTCTCTTCTCATCACTGATTTTGCCCAAACCCAACCCATACCACGCTCACATAGGTCTCTTTCAAACAACAAATTCGCGGGCTCCATTTCCAGCATCTTATTCACGCTTCCTCGGCTCTCTTATCTGTATGAGGCACCCCCCACCATTTGAGTTCGCCGTTTGCTTGTTCTACCTCCCACCATGCTCGTCTCATCCCCCAATCGCGTCAACCGTGTGTGCTTTCAGTCGCTCACTCCATGCCCGCTATTCTTATCTCATCACTTATTCCGCCCCAACCCAACCCATACCACGCACACTCAGGTCTTTTTCAAACAACGCTTTGACAGGCTCCATTCCCAGTCAGATTTACGGGCTTAGTGTGCTCACGTATCTGTATGTATGATGCATGTTGTGAAAGCCTGATGCTAAGCATGCGTGATCAAAGATAACATGAATCAAAATCCGCGAGAGAACATCCTAGACTTCAAGCAAGCAAGAAACAAGGAGTTTTGGGTAATCAAACATGGATAACAATGCCACTTGCAGCCAAGCCAGGCTAAATATCCTGGTCATGGTCACTCTAACCGAACTGCGATTCAGTTTATGCTTGCTCATACCTCTCTCCCATCATGCTCGTGTCACCTCCCAATTGGGCCGACCGTTTGTGCTTGCTGTCTGTCGCTTAGGGCATGTTACATCTGGTGCAAATCTTGAAGTGGACTATCTGATTTATTAAGGTTCGAACTACATGCCAATTTCCAGTCAACCACAATGCTACATCTAGGGTTGAATATTGAGATTCAACCCTTGCCGAGCTGTGAATAGATCTAGTAGGCTACCCAGTGTAAACTACTTGGCTCTGGCGTTGTTTTCAAGATCAGTAGGCCTGATCCGTCGAATGTGGCCAAAAATGGCCACGATCAAATCTGTGTGTGCGCGCATTCTCATCAACAGATTTGACGTTGATTCTATTGCCTTGACTTTCCATGTCAAGAAGCCGAACGTGAAAACTCAAGCGAAGTTGGCGAAGCTGGTTACCAGCAGAAGATCGACCTGTTTACCGAGCCAAATTCTGAATGCAACATGCCCTTATTCCTTGCCCTCAAATCGCATCTCCTCCCTTCTTCCGGCCCAACCCATACCACGCACTCACAGGTCTCTTTCAAACAACATGTTAACGGGCTCCATTCCCAGCAAAATATTCTCGCTTCCTCAGCTCGCTTATCTGTATGAAGCCGCATCTCGTTTGAGGCTGGGGCTAAGCACGCGCGGCACAAGTAGTGGTGGTGACACCTAGAGTGGGCTGTGTAACGGTTTCAACTCCATCAATTAGAACTCCTTTCATATCGTCTGTTTTTTGGGGCTGGTTACATGTTTGGAACCGTTCGCCCAGACCCAAAATCTTATTCGGTTTTCACTTGTGGCTGCCTCCCATCCCACCATGCTCGTCTCATCCCTCATTTGGGTGGACGGTGTGTGTTTGCTGTCCCTCTGGCCATGCCAACTTTTCTCGTCTCCTCACTTCTTCCGCCCCCAACCCACACCACAAACAGGTCGTTTTTCAACAACAGATTCACGGGCTCCATTCCCAACAGCATCTCTGTGCTTACTCAGCTTACTTATCTGTATGAAGCACCTCGTTTCACCCTGGTGATAACCACGAACGTGATTAACGGTCGCATGAACCCTAAAACCCTCAAGAGTACATCCTAGGTCCGCATAACCTACGTATTCCTGTGTAGTGGAAATCATATATGACGGAAAATCTGGAAGCCAAGCCAAGGATGAATATCCCGCAACTCCTCCTCCCAGCTTCTCCCCTCCCAGGTCGAGTTTGTCACACCAGTTCGGCTAGTTTGAGTCGAACATAAACCAGTTCGCCTCGAACAAAACTGTGATAAGGTTTCTGCTCATACCTACCTCCTCCCATGCTCGTCTGATCGTCAAACTGGGGACCGAATCTGCTTGCTGTCCCCCAGTCCATGCACAGAATTCTTGTCTCCTCACTTCCTCCA